TATCCTTGGTTGACTCTAGTATTTCTTCTACGATATCGGCATCCTCAAAATCTAGTTCGATTGATTGTTGGTGTTCTACTCTGGCCTTCTCCTCTAGCTCCTCCTTGTATTTTTTTAATTCCTCCAGTATAATGGCAATTTCTGCCGCCAATTCATACTCATATTGGCTACTATCAACAATGTCAACTTGTTGCGCTTTACAAGGTTCAATTAATTTATTCGCTTGAGCCCCCAAGTTGTGAATAATTGCCTCTTGCCTTTGTATCTGCCGTGGTTTCTCATCATATTGTTCTACATGACACTTTAATTTATCTTTGATCTCCTTTAGGTCAGCAGACAGCTTCCTAGGTTCTTTGTTCCTGTTATCCTCACAAGAAAAAGTAGAACCATCATAATAAGAGGTTGGGGGAAGATAAGAATTATAAGCACAACCAAGAAAGTGGCCATCTTGACCACCACGCGTATCACACATATTCCACACATAAGATTGAGTTGGCATACATAACTCGGTTTCGGGAATATTTTGATAATTTTGCCGTGGGTAATTTCCTCCACAATATGCATAAGGAGGATCAAAAGTAGAATTACCAACATAATTAAAACTTGTAAACGTTATTAAATTCAATCATTGTGAATCTTGTCCGTCGAACAAGGTGTTAGGAGACTTCTATCAAGTAACAAGCTGGATATTGTCACTATTCACGCGTGTTCATTTTCTTATTAAAATTCGCTTATCAATCAGTTATTGGACTTATCATTTATTATTATGTTTTGCATCTTCTGACTTTGTTACACTTCAATTATATTCAAAACAAATCAAGCCCCATATGCATAAACATGGACAATGACTAGGCATCAACTTATAAGATCCAACATGCTCTGTGCTTTTTCATTGTTAAAACTAAATATAGCAGTTTGCCGCCGTGAATAATGGAAAAGCATAAAAGAATAATTACTTGCATTAGATGCTTATATTCAAGAGGCGGACCCAGAATTTGATCATGGCGAGGGACACCACTATCGAAAAAGAACTTGAGCAAATGCTGAAGTCGAAATCAAACCTAAGCAGCGCACTAAAAATTAAGTTGTGTCCCCGAATCAAACAATGCAGATGCTAAAGTTTTGAATCTTAGAGTGCCCAATATAATTATACTTATTATTTAATAACAACAACAATAACAACATATCTAGTGCAATCCCACAAGTGGAATATGAGGAGGGTAGAGTGTATGCAGAACTTATCCGTGCCTTTAAAAAGGCAGCGAGGCTGTTTTTCGGAAGACCCTCGGCATACTTATTATTTATGATATATATACTTTTTTTCGAAGTTACCGGGGGCTGGTGCCCCCCTTACCGAAAGGGTAGTTCCGTCTCTGTTTGTATTATATAGAAGTATCCACTAATGCTTGTTTATATCACACACCTTAATATTAGATCAAATAATTTAATCTTATAAGGCATAATTAAAAACAAATTTCACTTAATTATGGTTAATTGATAAAAATTTATATAAAATACCAAGTGCTTAAATTTATTTGATTGGTATAAATGTTTGGATGTAATAATTTTTTATTATAGAAAAGTACCTCCCAGGTAGGACCGTTCAAAACCGAATCGTAACCGTTAACCGAACCGATTGCTTATTGGCTTATTGGTATCGATTTATCGGGGTAATGGTTGGTGAACGGATTGAAATTTTATAATTAACGGTTTAATGGTTTGGGGGCGGATTACTCAATTTCTTATCGGATAAACCGTTAACCCGTTAAAATTTTTTATATTTATACTTTTACCTCTATGTTAGTGAAATCATTACAATTCCTTTTTATTCCATTTTCTCCTTTGTCGAGTAGATTGAATTTTAAAAGGAAAAAATAAACTAATCATGTAACCTGGTATTATGCGATGTTATGTAAACATGAAAGCCTGATGCATTCATGACATATTTTCGGTCTTTTCTATAGTTATTAGGAGCCTTGTTATGTAGCATAATAGTCTTAATTTGTAGGTGGAAATACTTCTTTTTTGACTCATTCGACAATCGAATACAAATTACAAAGTGTTAACAAATTCTATCATGTAGCAGCACATTAGGATTGTTCAAATTTTTTTTATTTGAATTATCCGTTAAACTGCCCGATAATTATTAATCTAATACCAATCCGCCCGTTATCTTATTGGATAACTAGCGGATTACTATATTTATAATCCGATAACTGATAAGCCAAATCGTTAAACGTAATTATCCGCCCGATAAGCAGTCGTACTCCCAAGTCTCAATAGTTAGTTTTCTTTAAATGGAATCCTTTTTCTTGTATGTATCATGCTTTGGTCCCCCTCTCCTAACGGTCTTTTCCTTTTGTTTTGATTTTTAATTTATTTTTTTATATGTTTTTGTTTTGGTTGGTGAGGACTGAGGCATGAGGGGCTGTATTCTTGCCCTTTTAAGTCGGTTAGTAATTGTTTTCTTAATTAAGTTTGTATTATTGCTTCACTTTATTCTTGTTGGGGCACATCATTCGATTTGGACTTGTTAACTTAAGCTCCGCAATTAAACATTTAATACGTAATACAAACTGAATTTTCATCTTAACGATCATTTGCGTAAAAGGAAGAGGTGGTGCGTGTTAAAAACCCATAAACAATCTATTCAAAACTTTAAAATGGCATAGAAAAATGATCCATTATCTATTAGGGGTAGTTTGGTACGAGGTATAAGTAGATATAGTGTTGGGTATAAAATTTTAATACCACCTTAATACTTTGTTTGGTTAGCGAATCTGATATAAGTTATCCCAAGATTAAAATTAGTATCGGAATAACTTATACCTTGTAGGAGGTGGGGTAATTAGTGCCGAGATAACTTATACCTTCTTCTTAGAAATTATGCAATTGTCATTTTTAATACAACATACCAAGCAGTGGATAAAAAATAATACCAGTGTAACAAATCCCAATATAATTAATCTCATCATAATTTATCACAACATAAGTTATCCCAGCATAAGCCGTATTCAAACCAAACGACCCCGTTTATGTTTTGTACACTGATAGTGTATTATTTTTTAAATCATCAGCTTCTTGCAATAACATGTAGATTATTCCAATAACATATAATGGTGTAATTTTTTTTATTTATAATGTCATTGTATTAAACCCTTCTATATTCATTTTGGGAAGAAAGATTTGTCACTTAACCATAAAGTTAGAAAAAAGTGACCTAACCCGCCGATTTAGGTATAGATTATTCCTCGTTTTACTACTTACTAAAGTAATACTAATATATTTAAAAAAAATTAAAAAAAAAATGTACTAATATTTTGCCAAAAGTTGCTCCCCTCCTCACAAGATTTTTGTGGGCTTAAGTTGTTTTCATTCAAAAACACCAGCCATTTGTCTCGTGTGCTAGCCCCTCCTTTTCTTACCCATTGTTTTGACCTCCCCCTTTCTCGCTTAATCCTGCAATTTGTGTAATAATCTTGTATTACCCCTTAATTTTTTGATTAATTACTTACTTTAATTTGCCTTTTCTTGGAAAAGGAGACACCAAACAATGCGCTTAATAATGAAGAATGAATGATATTCAATTTCCTCTTCTTTTGACGAGATAGTTAATACACAAAATTAATTTTAAACTAATAAATTGTCTGAAACAGTGACTGTCACATAATATAAGAAAATTATTGTCTATGCCACAAAATAATAAAACCCATTGTTGGTTTTCGTTTTCTTTTTACGGAGAGTTGTTGATAAGAAGTAAATAAATGGACAAATAGAATAATATTAAGATAATATATTATATTGTCAGTTTCAATATATGTGGTACTAATAAGGTATTATTCCAAAAGGTATGGAATATTTATATATTTGAAAATAATTTAAATTTAAATTTAATAATTTATTATTAATGAGAAGTTTATGTAGTTCCACAAATGTTATAACATATTTAAAACACAAATTACATAATGTATTATAGTTACACGAATAATATGTTATATTTAAGATACCACATTTCAATTTATTAATATTTCACTCATATGAAGCCAACTTCTTTTCGATAGCTAATTAATAACTTTTATCTGTTGTTAATGCATCCTTTTTCTTTTTATGGCTTCTACACTTCCGTATTTTTCAAAAAATAAAATAAAAATATTGTGCCTATATTTTTCTTGAGCCGATGGTCTATCGGAAACAATCTCTCTACCTTCACAAGATAATAGTAAGGTCCGCGTACACACTCTCCTCCCCAGAGGCAGATCCAGAATTTAAATCTTATGGGTTCAACTTTTAAAATTTTTAGTATCGAACCAATTATATTTTTAAAGTTATGGGTTCATATCTACTATTTATACAATTTTAATAAATTTTTACTCCGCGTTAAAAGTTATGGATTCAGTTGAACCCGTCGTCAACACACTAGATACGCCCCTGCCTCCCAGACCTTACTTGTGGGATTAATTAGGATATGATGATGTTGTTATAATTAGTAGGAGTAACTTTTTTAAATTGTTAATCTATTACTTATTGTAAGTAATTTAATTGTATAAATATTATTAACACGTAATTTAGACCCCGTTTGGCCATGAGTTTTGCCAAAATAAATTTGGGATTTATTTTCAAAACTCATGTTTGGCCATAAATTTTGCTCATATTTTGGCCAAATTCCAAATCCCAAATTTCAAATCCCAAAATCCCAAAACTTGGGAATTATTTACATGTTTTTCCAAAATAAAGTTGGAAAATATGTTTTGAAAACGTATATCTAAATACATTTTCATCTTCAAACCAAACTTCACTCAAATCAGATTTTTCAAAATAAATTTGGGATTTATGACCAAACGCTAGCTTAGAAAAAATGAGAAAGTTCGAGAAAGAAGTTTGGAGGGTAAAAGTGTAAAATGGCTGAAACCGCTGGTTGCGTGCAGAAGGGGTCGCGAAGTAGCGATAACATCGATGATATTGTAACCCACCAACCCTGTGGCCGTATTATAAAAACCTAACCCCTCACTCTCATTTCCTCATTCTATTCTCGAGAACTTCTCACTTTTGTCTCTACTTTTTCTCTACTCTTCTTTAAATCATGTCTTGCTACAAGGGAAAGTACGCAGGTAAATTTCTGACTTGTTCTATGTTTGTTTTATTTGAATCTAGCTTTTATTGATCCCAAGTTTTTTTGTTTAATTTGATAGATCTCGTGTTTTTATTGATCTGGAATTTTAGATCTTGACTTTAGATTAGATTTTGGTTCAGATCTTGTTTGTTGGATGCTAAAGAGTACATCTCTATGTTATTTTCTCAATTTCATGATCCCACTTAAATACTTGATCTGTGAATGGACTGATAGATCTTTATGTTTATATTTATCGTTCAGTTTCTTATTGAAAACGTTCTCATTCGCCTCGTTTATTGCTTAATCATTAATTATCTGTTTGTCAAATATTGTTTGAGTTCTGTATCTCTGTTGCATGTTAATTTTTCAAACGGCTTACGGGCGGGATCTGATTTCACTTGTTCTAATCAGTTGTAGCCTGTTTCTGTTTCAGTTTAATTTTTGTGCATCTCAAATTTCTCTGTAACATGGCCAGATTCAATGTCTGTGGTTTCCAGATCTAAATTTTGGTCAACTTGAAATGCCTTGATACGATGATTCCACCTGTCTTTGATAGTTAGGCTTTGAATCTGAATGTGGCTAATATTAGTTTCCGTCGATTCTGGTTTTATTGCCTTCCCGTTTTAGTTGGTAAGTGTTAATAAATTTGTGAATATATGTGCAGATGAGCTTATTGCTAATGCTGCATACATTGGAACCCCTGGAAAGGGTATTCTTGCTGCTGATGAATCCACTGGCACAATTGGCAAGCGTTTCTCGAGCATCAACGTTGAGAATGTCGAATCAAACAGGAGGGCTCTCCGTGAGTTGCTCTTCACCACCCCCGGTGCTGTTCAGTACCTCAGCGGTGTTATCTTGTTTGAGGAAACACTTTACCAGAAGACCGCTTCTGGTATGATTTGTACTAGTATTTAATTTTTTGTTAGCACTGATCTCCATTTTACCTGATTGTTGTTAAGTGCATTAAATAGTCTTGGATCGTAGTATGCTAACGTTCTGATATTGGCAGGCAAGCCTTTCGTTGATGTCTTGAAGGAGGGTGGAGTTCTCCCCGGAATTAAGGTTGACAAGGGTACCGTCGAGCTCCCAGGAACCAACGGCGAGACCACCACCCAAGGTCTTGATGGCCTTGCAGAGCGATGCCAAAAGTACTACGAGGCTGGTGCTAGGTTTGCCAAATGGCGTGCCGTGCTCAAGATCGGTGCCAATGAGCCTTCTCAGCTCGCAATTAATGAGAACGCCAATGGCCTTGCCAGATACGCCATTATCTGCCAGCAAAATGGTCTTGTCCCCATTGTTGAGCCCGAGATCCTCGTTGATGGATCCCATGACATTAACAAGTGTGCTGATGTTACCGAGCGTGTTCTTGCTGCTTGCTACAAGGCTCTCAATGACCACCATGTACTCCTCGAGGGTACCTTGTTGAAGCCTAACATGGTCACTCCCGGTTCTGAAGCTGCCAAGGTTGCACCCGAGGTGATTGCTGAGTACACCATCCGTGCCTTGCAGCGCACAATGCCAGCTGCTGTTCCCGCTGTGGTGTTCTTGTCTGGTGGTCAAAGTGAAGAGGAGGCCACTGTCAACCTCAACGCCATGAACAAGCTCCAGACCAAGAAGCCATGGTCGCTTTCGTTCTCCTTTGGACGTGCTCTTCAACAGAGCACCCTCAAGGCTTGGGCTGGAAAGGAGGAGAATGTACAGAAGGCGCAAGCTGCATTTCTTACTAGGTGCAAGGCCAACTCTGAGGCTACCCTCGGAAAGTATGCTGGTGCTACCAACTTGAGTGAGGGTGCTTCTGAGAGCCTTCATGTCAAGGACTACAAGTACTAGAACAAGTTTTTTGGTTTCTGTTCCTTTTTTGATTTCCGTTTTGAAAACGAGATGGCAGTATGGAATTACAAAAGTGTCTGTTTTAATGGACATAATGTGTAAGGCTTTCTTTCTGTTTTTTCTATCTGATGTATGGCCGCGGATTGGTTTAATAACAAACAATATTGGCGTTGTGACACTGAATGGTCTCTTATAACCATTTTTGTGGTTGGTTTATTGAATCATTATTGCCTCTTTGTGTTATCCCAACGGTTAGTTTTGTATAGCTGCTATAAACCTGAAAATTGGTCAACAACAACAAGCCCAGTAAGCCCAGTGTAATTTCACGAGTGAGTTGGGTCCCGTAACGAGTGGGGTTTGGTGATGTCCCGTAACGAGTGGGGTTTGGTGATGGTAGGATGTACATAATATCAAGACAATATATTTAGAAAACTAAACCTGAAAATTGGGGAGGGAGAGTAGGATGTACATAATATCAAGACAATAAAATTGGTCCCTAGGGAAAAACTTGTTCGTATCTGAAATGGATCTATACACCTTTCAACATGTGGGGTTGTTTGCTACCTAACATGTTTTTCAAATTGTGGTCCCTTATCTGCTGCTTGCTTACATTTGACCGGTTCCGAATGGCGAGAGTGACAAAGTCTATCATGTGATCTGTTATGCGGCGCCTTCCTGAGATTCCTTGGAAGGGCGACGTAAGGCTAGGCAACTGATGTCAGTGCAGTTGCTGTCCGCCAACTGAGGTCCCCTCCGTACGCTAGACGAGATTGTCAGTGCCGTACGGGAAAACCAATGTCAAGAGCAATTGAGAGAACAAAAATGAGAATTCAGAATGAAAGAAAGCTTGATTGCATTAATGAAAGCTATTACAGAAAAGCAACGCGGTGTCGAGGGGGAGAGACACCAGTACAGAGAATTGCTTGCTTGCTAGAAAGTTTTGATTACTTGATCCCCCCTAATAGTACTTAAAAAAAAAATCCAAAGTTACAAGACTAGACTTGACTAAGCTAGAGAAACATAATGGAAGTACATGAAATAAAACTACTCTATATTTACAATGAAAATGACTTAGTTTTCTATAAGGCAACAGCAGGTCCGTTGTCAGCAGCAGTGTCTTCGGCATCACGGTCTGCGCGCGCGGCGTTGTCTGCGCGCGCGGCGCTGTTGGCTTCTGCCTGCGGCTTGGCGCTCGCGAGAGATATCGGTGGGGCGACAGAGGCACCTGCGCGCTTGTCACTTGGCGCGGCCAAGACCACGGGGCCGTCCGTGGCGCTAGGCATTGGAAGGTTCGCTAGGACGCCACGGGGCGCGCCCAAGGGGTCATGGGGCATGGCTGGAAAGCCGCCCATGACAGATCCTTTGTGGGGGTAGGTGTATATGCACGAGTTAAAACTGTTTTTCTAAGTAATGCTTTTTTGTTTTGTTGGTGTTTGTGAAAATTCTCCAATGAGACGAGATGCAAAAAATTGTAGAAATAAGACATTTTTTAAGATAGTCTTTAATTTTTTATCCCGCTTGCCCATCTTAGAATTTCAAGGTCAAAAGTTAAAAATTTTGGCCGTGGGATAAGACTGTTAAATTTGTAATTCTGTCCATAGGGGAGAAAAATTCAAGACCTACCACTTTAAATACTATTTGTGTACTTCGCACCAACAAGTGGTCATAACTCTCCAAAGGCCTGAGTGATACATTATCTGGATATCTTATTTCATAGAATATGCAAAAACTTTAGAAGACAGATAATATGGACTGAAGATAGTTACAAGCTTGAGTTGAACCTCTTACAAACCAAAAAATGCAGATATTATAGACCAAAGAGGTACCAAACTGGAGTTTAACCCCTTTTCTTGGGAAGCTAAATCAGACAGGAGAAAAAGGAGAGTAGACCTAATCAAGTGGATCGTTAAGTTAATTGATTAAGCTACTCCCACCGTTTCAAATTAAATGAGGTAGTTTGACTCGACACGGAGTTTAAGGAAAAAAAGAAAGATTTTTGAAATTTGTGGTCTTAAAAGCTTAAGGAGTAAAGCTTTGTGGGGCCATGACTTTTGTGTGGTTATAAAAGCTTCTCATTAAGGGTAAAATGGGTAAAAATGAGGAGTTTAAAGTTGAATTATTTCCAAATTTAGAAATGTATCATTTATTTTAAAACAGACTAAAAAGGAAAGTAACTCATTTAATATGAAACGGAAGGAGTATTATTTATTTGTACTTAAGAAATAACACCCGATGACAATTTAAATGTCACACTTTTTTATTAGTCCGTTCCAAAAAGAATGATACAATTCTATAATTGAAAATAATTCAGGTTTAAACTTTTCATTTTACTCATTTTACCCTTAATGAGAAGCTTTTATAACCAAACAAATGTCATGGCCCAACAAAACTTTTACCTCTTAAACTTTTAAGACCACAAGTTTCAAAAGTCCCCATTTTTTCTCTTAAACTACGTGCCGAATCAAACTATCTCATCGAAATTTAAACGGAGGGGTAGCATTTAAGGGTATCCATTAATGAATGGCATGTATTCACGATATTTTCAGAATATATATATACTCCCTCCGGTACACTTTAATTGATCGTTTGGCCTTTTTTTGTGGTCCACAATATTTTATTTTATTAGATATCAAGGATTAATTAACTTCTTTTTTTTCAAAGTTGCCCTTGGAGGAAAGAACCTAGGAGTATTTGTTGTATTTCCAATAAAAATATTATGGTTAATTCAGTTAATTTTATTATTAATTAATGCTAAAAGGTGGATTCTTTATCATGTGTGAAAACAACAAAAAAAGCAATTAAATGGGCCAGAGGGAGTATATATCGTACATGCTGAATTTGTAGAATTTTTTCGACGGAGTCTGAAATTTTGTAAGTTGATGAAAATGGTTTTGTGACCTATACTCATTACTTCACCATGGCTTTTAAATTCATATTCTGGCGTTTCATGGTCATGCAACACGAATTATGATTATATTTTCGTGCGTAAATGTAAATACAGATTTTTTAGAATTTTTTATGGACTTTTATTGGCCTGAAATTTCATAGATCCATAGAAAACGGCCTGGTGACCAATTCTCATAATTATTCCATGACTTTCGGGTTTATTTTATGGTATTTTGAGGTCATGCAATACGATTTGTAATTATATCTATTTTTTCGTGTGTATTAGCATATGTTGATTTTTTGTAGAATTTTTTTTCACGTACTCTGATTGGCCTGAAATTTCATAGGCCCATTAGAAATGGTTGGTGACAAATACTCATTGCTTCGTCATGACTTTCGGGTTCATTTTTTGGTGTTTCAGGGGCATGTAACACAAATTTATAACTATATCCACTCATTTTGTATATTAGTATATGTTGATTTTGTGGATTTTTTTGACGGACTCTGATTGACCTGAAATTTTGTAGATCCATTTGAAATGACCTAGTGACCAACACTCATTGCTTCGCCAAGACTTCTGAGTTCATTTCTTGAGTTTCGAAGTCATGCAATACGAGTTTATAGTTATATCCATTTTTCGTGTGTATTAGTACAAGCTGATTTTGTATTAGTATATGCTGATTTCGTAAAATCTTTTTGACGGACTCAAATTGGCTTGAATTTTTTAGGTCTACTAAAAATGGCCTAGTGACCAATACGTGTACCTTCGCCATGACTTTTGAGTTTATTTTCTAGCGTTTCGAGGTCATGTCAACATGTTTATAATTATATCCATTTTTTCGTATGTATTAGTACAAGCTGATTTTGTAAATCTTTTTTGACGGAATCTGATTGGCCTAAAATTTCGTAGGTCCATAGGAAACGATCTAGTGATCAATATTCATTAGTTCTCCATGACAATGTTGCCTTTTAGCATATCAGGGTCACGCAACACGAATTTATTTTGAAGAATTCTCTTGACGGACTTTGATTGGCCTCAAATTTTGTAGGTCCATAGAAAACGACCTAATAACCAATTCTCATAGCTTCGCTATAATTTTTGAGTTCATTTTATGGCTTTTTGAGGTCATGCAACATGAATTTGTGGTTATAATCATTTTTGTGTGTGTACATGCTTGATTTTGTAACATATTTTTGACGGATTCTGATTGGCTTGAAATTTTGTAAGTCCAAAGGAAACTGCCAAATAACCAATACTCATTGCTTCTCCATGACTTTCATGTTCATTTCTTTTTTGTTTCTGGGTCGTGTAACGCTAATTTATGACTATATCCACTATTTCGTGTGTATTAATACATGTTAATTTTGTAGAATTTTTTTGACAGACTCAGATTGACCTGAAATTTTGTAGGTCCATTGGTAACAGCCTGGTGACCAATGCTCATTACCTCGCCATGACTTTTGAGTTCATTTTCTAGCGTTTCGAGATTATACAACATGAATTTATGATTATATTTACTTTTTCGTGTGTATTAGTACATGCTTATTTTGTAATTTTTTTGAAAGATTCTGATTGTCCTAAAATTTTGTAGGTCCAAAGGAAATGACCTAGTGACTAATACACATTGATTCACCATGACTAATGTTGCCTTTTGGCGTGTCTGGTTCATGCAACACAAATTTTGTGACTATATCAATTTTCTTTTTGTGTCTTAGTACATGATGATTTTGAGAAATTTTTTCGATAGATTCTGAGTGGCCTAAAAAAATCGTAGGTCCATAGGAAACATGAGTGACCAATTCTTATTGCTTTTCCATGACGTTCGATTTCATTTTATGGCGTTTCCAATTTGTGCAACATGAATTTGTGATTATTTCTCTTTTTAGTGTGTATTGGTACATATTGATTTTGTAGAATTTTTTTTAACGGATTCTAATTGGCCTGAAATTTCATAGGTCCATAGGAACGACCCAGTGATTGATACTCATTGCTCTGCCATGATTGTCGGGTTAATTTTTTGGTGTTTCAGGGATGTGCAACACGAATTTATGACTATATCTACTTTTTTGTATGTTTTAATACATTTTAGTTTTGTAAAATTTTTTTGACGGACTTTGATTGGCCTAAAATTTTGTAGATCCATTGAAAATGACTTAGCGACCAATACTCATTGCTTTACAATGACTTTCAAGTTCGTTTTCTGGTGTTTCACTGTCATACAACACGAATTTTTGATTATATTCACTTTTTCATATGTATTAGTACATGTTAATTTTGTAGAATTTTTTTATGGATT